TGATTGTAAATTCATGAATCTTAATAAATAATTTATGTAAAATTAAAGTGTATATTTCAAATTTCAATTGTGTCTTGTTATAAATTAACGTCTCCTTTATATAGTTTAAAATGTTGGATTAATAAAAAAAAATTTATCTAAGTTTGATTTAGGATATGTTTATAATGTTTTTTATTGGAATGATTTTGATCCATGTAGATGTAAACAAATTTGATCATACCAGACTAGACTTAAAGAATAATAAATTTTACATTTGGCAGCCGTTTGTCAAATCACATTAAACAAACATGATCAATTTTTGTCTTCAAAATTCACATATGTAATGTTAATGTCATATGAAGGATCATAAAAATTTATTTGATTAAAAACTTATTATACTTTACAATAAAATAATTTGCCACGTGACAACAAATTGGATGAGAAGACAAATTTATAATTGACATGGTATGAGTATTGCCGTGTTAAGTTGTTAACCTCCTACGTAACATTTATTAACCTCAATTTTAATTGAAAACTCCGTTATTGAGAAGGGCAATATAGTCTAGGCAATATAGTAATACGAGGGGTGCGCCTAGCAACACCCTTGGGAGGCACACATGTAGCGCCGATCACTCTTCGGCATTCTTATGTGGTGCGGACGAGCACGAAGAGTCGGCCAGCAGGTTTTGTAGGTGGATAGAAGTAGGGAGGAAATGGCATCGACGAGCGCGGTACGAATAGAAAAGTTGATCGGGCAGTGCGACGTTTGGACATCGGGATTGAAGATGACGAACTGGTGCTCGATGAGGAGGACGCTGCGGATCTCACAAAGCAGACGATTCTGGTGACTCGACACCCTCCTGAACTGCCGCCATGGAGTGCAGGAGAGCCTAGGGTTTGGAAGAAGATGAGTGAATTCTGTTTTAATTTCATTTTATTCTCCATGTTGTTTTGGATGTGTTTTTGTTTCCTAGCAGAAAAATTCTAGAATCTAAATCAGTTGATGAGAAATCTGGTAAGCATGTCATTGACTCTGTTAAGTCCATTACAGGATCAACGAATCTTATTACTTCTACGGATGTGATAGATTCTAAGTCTGGTTCACAGGTAGACGATAGACAGAAGACTTTTTGTCTTTTCGTAAGTTGCTAAAGTTCTGTTATTTTAATATAAACCACATTCTTTTAAAAAAGAGTTTCCAATCAATATTATCATAATAATGTTTATCGGGAAAATATGACTTATGACCTACATACATATTAATGTAAGATAGAGTTTTGTTTTGATTTTCTAACTATATTCTTGCTTTATGTCAAATCAAGCAAAAACTAGATAAAAAGTAAGGATAGCTGGGACTTTTTGCTTAAAAGTGATTTCCTTTTATAGAAATGAGAACTTTTTTTTGGGACATCCATAAAAGTAAAGTGAGAACTTTTTTTCGGGACCGAGGTACTATTAAATTAGAGACCAAGTATTACAAATTTTGAATGGAAAATGTCTTACATATGTAATCCATTCGCACGGGATTAATTTCTAATTTTTCATTTTAAGATGTGAGCGTGCACATTCATACTACTTAAATAAACGGAGATAGTTCGAAACAAAAAAAAGCTTGATTTAGTAAATAATAGGAAGATTTGCAACAAAATGTGTTGCACAATATATGTCTAATAAGAGCGTCCAACTTTTGTGTTGCACAATTCCGGGATTTTTTTTTGATCAATTTCCGGGATTTTTTTTTTGATCAAATTCCGGGATTTTTTTATTAGAAAACATGCTATTTTCCCTTTTTAATTATATCCGAGCAGATGATTACGGAAGGACGAATTTACTGCAAATATATTTTTAAAATATGCTTCCACACAAAGTCCACTACAAAATTCAAACATGTACTGAAACAATTAATGATCTTGTTTGCTAGATCCACCAATATATGATGTATTTGAGGAATTCTAATGGTTTGATTTGATTACATTAAACCACTAACACACACTGGGGAGACAGTAACAGAGTACACTCTTAACTTCTTATACTTGCCCGGTTGCCCCTAAACAATGTCTCATTTTTTGTCATGATCCCCAACTAAGCTTTATATTTATAATTAAAAAAAAAAATGTCATTTGCATTATTTGGCTATCTTTTATACGGAGTATATATATTCGGACATTCAGTCACGTAGTTTCAGTGTTTTTAATAAGCATGTCTAATAAAAAAACACATTGTAGGTTTGAAACACAAAAGGCTTGATTTGCACCCATTAATTCGAGGTTGCCATCTTGTATTTGTTTTAAAATGTTTGCCATCTTGTATTTGTTCTAAAATGTTTGCCATCTTGTATTTGTTTTAAAATTTTCGCAAACTTGTTTGTTGTTTTAAACTGTTTGCCATGTTGTATGTGTTTTGAAATGTACATACATTAGTTTATTTGCAAGTGACTATACGTGAGGTTACTGAAAATGTTTTCGCTTGGACCAAAAGTTTTTAAATTTTCAAATTTTATTGGATCTACTATTTTACCTGTACTCTGATCTGAGCTGGTTTAGCCGTTTAAGCTTATTTAGTCAGATTTGGCCTAATCGGACATGGCTGTGTAATACAGAATATGTGATTTACCTGTATATCATATTCCGGACCAGTTAACTTACAAAAATCATTTGACGACCTTCCCGATTGAACTTTTTGCTCAAATTTGATATGGACGAACTAGACTTGATGAGGAACATACACAAAAAATTTGAGCAAAAAATACCACCGGGAAGGCCCCCAAATGGAGGAGGCCGGACGGGGCTCCTGTCCGGAAATTCCGGACAGGAATAATCCTCTCTCTGTGTGTGTGTATACATATATATACATATATATATATATATATATATATATATATATATATATATATATATATATATATATATATATATATATATATATATATATATATATATATATATATAGAGAGAGAGAGAGAGAGAGAGAGAGAGAGAGAGAGAGAGAGGAATGATCTTGTCAAGTGCGCCCACAGGAAGGTCTATGTGGACTTGCCCGTATGAGGGTGTATTCGGTGAAATTTTTTGATGAACTTTTTTTAACATGTTCTTCATCAAGTCTAGTTCATACATATCAAATTTCAGCTCAAAATTCGATCAAGGCATTCAAATAATTTTTTTAAACATATGACACATTTTGTGCACATATAATGCGCAGTATGTTTCAAGAATTTATTTGACTGCCTTTCCGATTGAACTTTGAGCTAAAATTTGGTATGAATAAACTAAACTTGATGACTCATGCTTAAAAAATTTCATCGAAAAATGCCACCGAGAAGTCCCTCAATCGAGCAAGTCTACACGGCGTATCTGGTCAGGCGCGCTTCAGGCGCGCCTTACCAGATCAGTTCTCTCTCTCTCTCTCTTTATACACACACACACACACACACTGGTAGGAAAACTTTCCGGTAAGGTATACCTTACCGGAGCCGTCGTGCGGCCTCCACGTTTTGAGAGCCTTCCCAGTAGAATTTTTCGATGAATTTTTTTGAGCATGTTCGTCATCAAGTCTAGTACATCCATACCAACTTTCAGCAAAAAAATTAATCCGGAAGGCAGTCAAACGATTTTGAAGATAACTGCGTTTTATATGTATATAAAGGGTGCAGTTATTTTCCAAAAATCATTTGACTACCTTCCCGATTGAATGTTTTGCTGAAATTTGGTATGGATGTACTAGACTTGATGAAGAACATGCTCAAAAAATTTCATCGAAAAATTCCACCGGAAAGATCCTCAAAACGTGGAGGCCGCACGGCGGTTCCGGTAAGGTATACCTTACCGGAAGAGTTCCCTACACACACATACATATAACAATTTCTTGCTCCACATGAAATGTAACATGTGATGTGTGGCATCAAAGTGTGTATTGAAGTCCTAACACAACTTTTTTGTAATTATTACAATTTCATTTTGGATAGCATAATCACAAATACTAAGGCCCTCCCACATATATTTTGTAAGTCACGCATACGTTTACACTAGTATTGTACCCGTGCGATGCACAAAATACCAATATATTTATATTTTGTATTCATTTCAATTTTCAATATGGTAAAAAGACGAAAATATAAATGCTCTACAACAAAAAATAAACTACACATTATGAAAGGTTTATAGATACACACATCAATTGTACATGAGAGTGCTTGGTGTGTCATCAATGTTATTTATCAATATTTTGAATATCTCACATTTGGTGACTTAGGACACTATAACATATACTACCTCCGTCCCAGAAGAGGGTGACACGGTTATTAAGAAAAGTGGGTTTGTGTGGTTGATATTAATTGATAAAGTAAGAATAAAGTAAGAATAATTTAGAACCACACAAACTTTGCCAAATATGGTATGAGACAATTTAAGTGGGACTTTCCGGAAAGGTAAAACGGGACAATATAAATGGGACGGAGAGAGTATATGGTTGGTTGTGACAAAAATACGACATTTGTATAATCAATTTTCATGAAAAAGATATATATTATCCTTGACTCATGCTAAAATCTAAATGACATTCTGACATATAGAACGACTATAACTAGTTTTTATTATAATGTAAATATTGAACACGTGTATATGAGGTACTTCCAAATCCCTTCATGGAAGTTGTTTGGAGATAGCTAGGAACCTCCCTAACAATGAGAATAGAAGCTTGAATGCAACTTCCTCATGTCTCCCATATACACCTATAAATAGGGAGTGTATTGTTGTTCATTTGTATCAGTTTTAGAAAGTGAGAAACGTGTGTGAAGAGTGAAATATTAGGTGAGGATTGATTTTTTATAATAGTTGTGTGAAAGAGTTTGATCCTCCTATTGTAATTCTGTTCTTGATATTGAATAGAAGAATTTTCAATCCCAACAATTTATAGAGCAATGTGGTACCGATTGATGATTGAAAGTTTGAAACTGTTGAGGTTAAAAAGGCAACGATTCAAGGTTCGCTTATTTGCCCATTCGAAAAAAGGCAACAAATCCAAGCGTCGCTTATTTGCCGATCCGTAACTTTGAGGCGGAAACTGTTATGTCTTGGTTTCTCTTTTTATATTAGTATAGATTTTGTGGTGACAACGCAAAAAAAAAATGAAACCAAAGTAAGTATTTACTGATGTGCCCGCATTATAAGCACACGAGCCATTGGGGAAAAACAACCAAACTAGGAAAGTGGGAAATCGAGTACTTATCAATACAAATCTAAGCGCAGCCTCAGTCGACCTTTGCAAGTTACTGGAATGAGTTATGAAGTATGTCCTCCATCCCGCTAAAATTGTACATCTTTCCTTTTCGGTCCATCCCACAGTTGCATCCACATTTTCTAAGTAGTAAAACCTGCTTCAGCCTCTTGTTCATACTGTTCGCAAGGCTTTGATCCAATCAATTTCCACATGAAAATCTCTGGGGCCAGACCTCGCACCTGGGACTCCACCTTCTGCATTGACAGATAGAGCCATAGCCAGAACTCGGGATGGATTCATCTCCAACTTTGCATTTATTATGTTTCCTCTCCATGTCGGCACGTACATGGAAAGTGGTATCTGTAGCGAAAATACAAGAGCTGAAATTGACAAGAGCTTTATTACTACTACTACTATTACTACCACTACTAGTACTATTTTGCTTGGGCAAATAACTGGATGGATCAAAGCAGGTCGGGATACTACCACCTTTGCACAATCCAACATTTTTCATTGCCATTCTCCCTTTCATTTCTTTAAAATAAAATAAAGATATTATGGGGTATTCATAAAAGGAGCCATGGCTTACATAAACAGATCCCTTAGCCCTTGGGACATGTTCCCATGGATGATTCTATAGGGCTTTGGAGCATTCATGTAAGCCCGCTCGATATCATGTATTTATTTATAACAAATCTCACGCATATATCAAGATATAGACTTAGCCCTCCAAATCCCTCCATCCCAAACTGACCATTATGAGGTCTAACGAAGGAATCTGTTTCATGCAATAGGGAGCTCAAGAAAGCTATTGAAAAGGTACAAGCAGCTAAATTATGCCACTGGCCGGCCAAAGTGCCCACAACAAAATTAGCGTCACAGAGAAAATGAGGGATAGAAGCCTGTGGGACATGCCTTAGCTATGTACCAGTCGTCTTTAGGTACAAAAACAAATGCCTGCCATGAGTTATCTTCCTCTTGCCCAGGAGAATTCACCCAATTCTGGGTGTAGATCTGCAGTTATATGTACGAAAAGATTATAATTTTCTGATGAGAAGGGTAACTCATATAAGAGTGCTCCATATAAATGAAGGTTCATCATTTAAATATTAAAGTACTCTCTAGCAGAAATATGCACACAATGGGGGGCTCACAGTAGAGATGTAGTTCCTCCCATCTCCTTTCAGTTTGACTGCTATTGTATCATATGCATCCAAGTCAATGAAGCCATCAAACTGTGAAACAAAAATTAAGTATGACAATGACAAGAAAAACAAGACTAATAATGCATTCAATAGACCAGTAAAAAACATTATGATTGCACATCCTGGAATACTTTTAATGAAAAGACAGATTTCATAGTCCAACTAAAAATAAGAATTTCATGTAAACCAAAGAACACTGGAGTTTTTCTGAAGATCAAGGATAAATAAAAAAGCATGGAGTAGTTTTCACTACTTACATAAGGAAGAGATTAGCACGGCAAGGATTAAAATCAGTTCATTTCACAAAACATCTCCGTAATAGTGACATAACTCTTGAACAGATCGCATCAAGAACTAGGTAAAAGTAATAAATGTACCTTTTTAGACCTCATTCCGCAAAAGCCACTTCTAGTCATGTTCCCGGTTGAATCCTCGACAACATCTAGAGAGAGGTTTCCAGAAAATATCCCTGTCCCAATTGCCAAAATAACATGTTTAAAAGAAGAAACAAGAGTGGAGTCATGGAGTGTTACTTTCTTTTTTATTGCTGCTAATATATCGGTGTGCTCAATTTCACCTTAAGGTTTAGTGTACGGCTCGTCAAAACTAATGATTTCAGGTTATATTGCAATAAGTTGAGATCAGTGGAGGAACTGAAGACGGCAGGTAGGACTCCATCTAATTGCAGAAATTTTGTAACTCCTTTTACTTGCCTCAATAACAAATTAACGATCACAAACTGATATAGTTTAACCAATTAGTAATCAAAACTTTAACTCCAAATCAACGGGGTGGATACATTAACCACTGAATAATCTCATGGGTTCATTTACAAGAACTACCTCCCTCCCAATGATAGGTTCTAGGTTTGACATGGCACAGAGTTTAAAGAACAAAATGAAACTGTGGTTGACATTTATTTAGAAAGGAATAAAAGATTATAAACCACATGAGTAGTTAAATCGCTACTAGGTGGCAACTTGGCCAAGGGCTGACTAACGAGTAGGACAGATTACTCAGTTATTACTTGGCATTGCATTATTGAAATTAAAAACATACATGCCCCAAAATTCTAGTAATACATTAGTCTTATAATTCTTATATATGAATAAAATAATAATAATAATAATAATCCTAGTAATGAAGTAACAATAGATCCCAACAATCATAACCATTCCAGCTTCTAAGAAATTCAATCACCTAAATATTATGTAGTACTTAATTTTGAACTTCTGTCCTAAACTAATCTTCATTGGTTTCAGTCCCAAAACAGACCAGACTTTAACAGACTAGACCGAACCAGACTTTGACAATTGTAAAGTACCTGACTAGATCAATTCAAACATGACCGTGGGTGAAGTAAAGAAATTCCCTTATCACTCTTGGGCCCTTGGCCTCTTGCAGCTTGCTCCCAAACTCAAAATCTTGGTCCTGCCATGTTACATGTATGGTTGGAATCTCGTGCAAGGTCTAGGTAGAAAGAACGAAAGAGGGTATCTAGGATCTATGTTCAATGAGGAATTAACACTGTCTGCCTAGTCAAGACAACCAAGAATAAATTTGTTAAGAGCGCGCGTACACGATCTCGTCCAAGGTCGAGAACGAGATAAAGGAAGCGAATTCAAGTACTGAGATGAATAAATTTTTGGATCTATGATGAGCCGAGAGAGAGAACGGAAATAAAAGATTTTATTGGAATTAATTCGGTGCCCGACCTTGTCAAGACGCAGTAATTAATTCTCCAAAAAAACCTCCCCCTAAAACAACTGAGGACCCATATATAAAGGTTTTACAAGAGTCCTAAAAGAGAATTAGGAAACTTACTAAAACTGAATTAGGAAACTTACTTAAAACTGAATTAGGAAACTTACTTAAAACTGAATTAGGAAACTTGCTAAACTGAATTAAAAAAACAATAAAGTAAATGCAGGAACTTGCTCCCAAAATCAGCCACTTTCAGTGGTCTCATTGGGCTGAATTTCTTCAGCCCAATCACCCCTTTGCCCAATCCTGCGCCTTTGATATTTTTGGCCCCAAAACTTGTCCATAACATCACTCCCCTCGTTGACAAGGAGCTTGTCCTCAAGCTCAAAATCTGGATACGCGGCTCCCAGGGATACGCTTTCCCCTTCCACTGGACCAGGAATTCTAAGGAGCCATGATGCAGACGGTTGCGGAGAATAGCAAGCGGTGTGATTTCGTCAGGGGGGTCAACTAGCAATGGCAGAGTTCCCATGGTTGTGGGTGGGGTCCCCTTGTGGGGCTTTAAAAGAGAGACATGAAACACATCGTGAATGCGGCTCGCTGGTGATAATTTCAATTTGTATGCTGCTTCTCCAATTCGTGACTGAACCTGAAATGGTCCATGAAACTTTGGAATTAATTTATGGTTACCACGACCTAGGGAGAGTTGTCTGTGAGGATGAATGCGTAGCCAGACCCAATCTCCTGCCTGGAAGGAAAGATCGCGATGATTTTTGTCATACTGCAGCTTCATATGTTGCTAGGCTTGAGCTAGCCGCTCTCGGGCCTTAGCCAAGAGTTGATCCCGGCTAAGAAGCTCACGGTCCACACCCTCTAATCGTGCCGTCCCAGGGACATATGAGATAAGTTTAGGTGGATCACGACCATAAACAAGACGAAAAGGTGTATCCCCCAAAGACGTATGGTAAGAGGTGTTATAGCAGTATTCCACCCATGGGAGCCAACGAACCCATTCTTTTGGGTAATCACTTGTAAGGCATCGCAAAAATATTCCCAATGTACGATTTACTACCTCAGTTTGACCATCGGTTTGAGGATGATAGGCAGAGGAAAAAAACAGTTTAGTGCCCGCCAACCGAAATAGTTCTTTCCAAAAGGAACTCACAAATATCTTATCCCGGTCAGAGACGATAGATTCTGGCAGTCCATGTAAGCGGAATATCTCTGCAAAGAAGACCCCTGCAACAGAAATTGCCGTGAACGGGTGTGCCAATAGAAGAAAATGCGCTGCTTTGGAAAGACGATCAACAACCACCAATATCACTGTCTTGACTCTCACCTTAGGCAACCCTTCTACAAAATCCATCGATATATCTGCCCAAATGTGTTGTGGAATCGGGAGCGGTTGAAGGAGCCCTGCCGGCTGCAAGTTCAACCATTTATGTTGCTGGCACGTCTGACAATTCTGAATAAATGCTGCCACGGTTGATTTCATGCTAGGCTAGAAAAACTCGCGACGGAGACGCTGCAGCGTCTTTTCCACCCCTTCATGGGCCATGCTATGGAAAACTGAAAGGAGGGTCAAAATAATGGCGAAGGAATCCAGTAGATATAGTTTAGACTTGAAATAAACTAACTGTTGTGATCTGGGATCGGATTTCTGAAATCACGGAGGAGCCCACCTGTTCTGCCCGTATTTCGCTGAGTAAGGAATTAAATGGAACTGTGAGAGCTGCCAAAGAAATCTCTCCTTCATCGCGGCGAGAGAGTGCATCGGCTGCAACATTAAGTCGACCAGGCTTGTATTCAACTCAAAAGGTGAACCCCACCAATTTGCTCAACCAGTGCTGCTGTGGGGACGTGGTAAGGCGTTGATCCAATAAATGTTTGAGGCTGGAATGATCAGTTTGAATGACAAATTCACGGCCCCACAGATAAGGACGCCAATGGGTGACTGCTTTAGCCAATCCAATCAGTTCTCGTTCATAAGCGGGAAGTTTAACATGGCGATCCGCAATCTTTCTGCTGAAGTAAGCAATTGGATGCCCTTCCTGCTGCAACACCGCACCAAAACCAGTGCCTGAAGCATCACACTCGACCACAAATGCTTGCTGAAAATTCGGTAGTTGTAGCACTGGCGCTGTTGAGAGGCAAAGTTTTAACTGGTGGAAAGCTTTTGCTGCACTATCTGTCCAGACAAAGGAGTTCTTCTTCAATAATTGGGTCAACGGCCCTGCAGTTTCTCCATAGCGTTGAATAAATTTGCGGTAGTAACCGGCCAGGCCTAAAAAACCACGTAAGGCAGTGATTGATCCCGGAGTGGGCCAATCCATTACTGCTTGAATCTTAGTTTTATCAACCTCAACCCCTCCACAATGGATAACATGCCCAAGATAATGAACTTGGACAGTTCCAAAATTGCATTTGGACTGCTTGAGAAATAGGCCATTATGACGCAACACATCGAGGACGAGTCGAACATGGTGAACATGTTCTACCCAAGATTTGCTGTAAACTAAGATATCGTCGAAGAAAACCAAAACGAACTTCCGTAAATATGGCCTGAATATATTGTTCATCAGACTTTGGAATGTGCACGATGCATTTGTAAGACCGAATGGCATGACCTAAAATTCAAAGTGGCCATGATGGGTTCTGAACGCTGTTTTATGAACGTCTTCGGGAGCCATTCTAATTTGGTGATACCCAGAGCGGAGGTCTAACTTTGTGAAGAATTTGGCCCCATGCAGTTCATCTAGCAGTTCATCGATGACTGGGATAGGAAATTTATCTTTGACAGTTTTAGAGTTCAATTCTCTGTAATCAATGCAAAAGCGCCAAGCGGCATCGGGTTTTTTGAACAGTAACACCAGGGATGAGAAGGGTGAATGACTGGACTGAATTATGTCTTGCTCCAGCATCTGAGAACATTATCGTTCAATCTCATCTTTCTGGAAATAGGGGTAGCGATAAGGTCTGACAACTACTGGTCCGGCTCCTGGAACCAGAGTAATGTGGTGATCACATGTGCGTTGAGGGGGCAATCCTACTGGATGAGAGAACAATTCTTCATAATGGGATAGTAAGCCATTAAGAGTGTTGTCTCTGTTTTGAGAGTTTGCCAGCAAGTGTACCTGCAATTTCGGGGCTGCTTCCTGGCCATGCCACTCGATTGCTCGTCTGTTCCAGTTGAACTTCATAGAAAGATGAGCAAAATCCCACAGAATGGAACCCAAACCCCGGAGCCAATGAATGCCAAGAATCATATCAAACCCGGCAAGAGGTAACACATAGAAATCAGCAACGAAATCTTGACCATTGACGCTAAATGTCAATCGTGGGCAAGATCCGAGGATAGGGACACGATCTCCGTTGGCAACGAGAACATGTAAGCTCGACTCCAATGGCAATGGTGGAGATGCGGATGAGATCAAACGCTGGTGTATAAAGTTGTGAGTACTGCCGGAGTCAACTAAGATTGTAATTGAGGATCCAAACCCGGTCATGGCAAGCAAGGATAAAAAAGGATCAGTATAAGGCATCTCAGACTCGAGCTGGTCATCTTCAACGATCTCCACGAAGAATAAGCGCTTACAACGGTGACCCCTCACCCACTGGTCATCACAATTGTAACACAATCCCTTTTCCCGACGGATTGCAGCTTCTGCCCGTGAAATCTTTTTGAAGGTGGGATTGTAGTTGCGCCGAACTGGGGCTGTTTCAAGAGGAGAAGGTGGATCCAGCCCTAATGATGCCGCTCCCCCATAACGAGCAGTTGAATTGTTTCTTGTTGTTGGGGCTAACATCGCCAAGGAAAGGCGTAGCTTGCGGTCAACGCTACGGGCACTCATCATGGCAGAGTCAAGATCAATCGGATCTTGGTATTCAACTTCCACGCGCACTGCCTCCTGGAGACCAGCTGTGAAGATTCGGACTTGCATGCGGACCGATACACCCGCCGTACGAGCCAGTAATTGTTGAAACGCCTCAAGAGTTGCAATGGCTATTTCTGCGCAGCCATTGCAATGGCAGATTTGTCTAAAGAGTTGGCATCATTTTTTGTTGTGGTGGTGAAGGAGTTAGCGGCAGCAGCGGTGTTGGTTTTACTGGAGGCAGCAGTTGTTGGATATGCGGGTAGCAGCAGCGATCTTGATAGTGGAGGTGGTAGCATCTAGACTTATGACCACAACAGAGAAGATAGACGTGGAGGTGATAGACTGATACCACAGCTGTGAGGTGCCTATTACCAAAGGGGTCTAACTATAAAAGGAGAGAAAAAAATAGCATTTTGTGTGGATTAGAATCCAAAGGAGAAAATATTACTGCATTCACACATTTCAGTGACGAACGGACTTTGAACCCAAATACTATCTTTTTTTTTCAGGGGGGGGGGGGGGGGTTATCCTTACCTACAGCACTAGGTCCATCACTTGTATCTTTAATCTCTAGAGAAGCAGATGACATACCTGAAGAGTTATCAATACCTGATATATTCAGATATGATTCTAAAGAAACAATTTGCATATAGTAGAATAGTGAATATAGGAATGTATGGTATCAGTGAAATCGAAAGCGGGTCATGGTGTAATATGAACTAATAAAACCCAATTAAAAGAATTACTGAGAGTAGTTGGAATGGCACAGCATGAGAACAAAAGCTTAATAATGCTCATCTATATTTATATATGTATGAGAAAATAGATTTCAGAAGCATAACACAATATAAGAATTAAGAAATATATTTAAAAAAAAGAGTACCAGTATAACCTGCTACTCTGCTAGACTAGCACATGTATTTCATGCAATGTAGAATCTAAGAGAAAATCACCCAAGTAAATGCACCTCCATATTCAGAATCTGAATATAAATGCCACTTTTTCAGTTCAGCTTTTGAGTTGAAATTGAATATTAATCTTTCACGTGGAGGAGTTAAGTCTTCAAGGTTCCATGTAAGAGCTGCAAGTTGTAGATTTAAACAATAAAACTAAGCACATCAGCAGGAAAAATAAAGAGGTTAATGAATTTGTGTGTCAACTGTCAACTAATGAAGGGTGGGTATGTTTGGGTTTGACAGAGGTCTGTTGGTTACTTAGTTCGGTTTTTTACCCAACCCAAGACAAAACTAACTTTTATGCAACATAATCCAAACCGATTATGTTTAGCAAGCCACACTATCGTAGGTTTGTTTGAATGGTTTGGACATTAAATCCATAATTCCATATATGTTTTGGAAGCTGGGATCAGTCCATAATCAAATTAACTCAGACCAAATAATTTACAGTATATTATAAGCCTGATTTGAAAATTATGACCTTAAAGACATTAAGTCTAGTGGTACTTAAGAAATGGAGATCAAGAGAAAAAAACTGAAAATAACCAAAATTATAGTATCTACTTATCTAAGATTTAGGATAAGGTATAACATAAGTAAACAAATTACTACAGTAAATATTAAATCATTCAAATATAAATTTTTGGAATGACAGCTCAAAAACAGGACGAAATGCAAGTAGGCTATACTCTTAAAGACTTGATATGTCATAGAATATGTTAGTGAGTCAGACTGGATTGGATTGGATTAGATTAGAATCATTAGATTGGATTGCATTGCATTGCATTGCATTGGACTGGACTAGACTGGACCTGTGACACCAAAACGAATGCGCAAGCACAGTGTGCAAATACCATTATATACCATCCTTTCTTAAGAGTTAAGACAACTTCCCTCTTCAACTGCACTCTATTTGTTCTTACAAGTAACAACCATCTACATGTGCCTTAATGTAAAAACCATTACTCGATGGGAAGATGTAAGGAGGCAGACTGAGAAACATAGTAATAATAATTGCAAATTGTATCTTCAAAAGAATAGGAACCAATCGTTGCCAGTTGCATTAGTGCATAGAGTGAAGAAGTAAATAGACCAAGTTCTGAAATAACTTGCCTCTTTTAGTTGCAGCAAGGGATGCTTGCAATAGTGAACGAAACCTGGACATTTTAGCCCCCTAGATTCCTGGTGAGTTCCAATACAGGTTAAAATATCCATCGACACAATGTATTACTCAGTCTAGAAAACCATCATTCAAGTGCACTAGTTATACACTTATACATAACAGAAGCAAACCCAAATCCAAAATCTATCAATAGTATGGCATGAAATTGAATTATTATCATGAAACTACATTTAGATATCAAAATTTACTTACTGCACACCATTTATATTTCCAAGCATTTACAAAGTACCACTATGAAGTTATGAAACATCTATGAATAACCTACAATGTTGTAAGAGGGGTTAGATGTACTCAACCTTAACCATGTACTAAAGCACATAGAGACTGTTCTTGGATGATCCATGATGAAAATCGCATTGAAAATTACATGTACTATCTGACTATTTGTTGCTTCATAACAAAGAAGCGCAAACAATTTAGTGAATCATTTTGCTTTATTCCTTCATATTCCCAAGCCAAAAAATAGTGAATTTTGGCTTCATTTGGAAATAATGGAAATTTGAGCATCTATGAATATTTATTTTACAAAACAAACCATGATACTCATTTTCATTGAAAATACTGGAACAGAAAGAGTCTTATGAATGTAATAACGAGAAAGATGCTCACCACTCAAAACCAAATTTCAATTGGAGACATTCCTTTGTGGCACGACACCTTGGATAATGATCACATATGTAACTTCTTATCACCCAATAAAGGTGGGCACACATAACGTCCAATTTTTAATTACTCTATAGCATATGGATTTCAATATGTGCCCCAATGTTCTTAAAGGTAATCTAGGCTACTTGTAGCATTTTCTAGGTATATCTGAATGTTGTTACTATCTACCTACTTCGTGAACAAAATCTGAATAGTATATATGTTTAACATTGAAAAATTGAAACAAATATACATGAGGATAAAAAATAAGCTATTAAAACATACCTTGAATGTTATCATTGCTCCTTTTTTTCGAATAACCTTGTTCCCTGGGAGAATGATAGAACTATGTGTAAGCTTTTTCATTGGTAACAACCGCTTCTCTTCTAAAAATGTTGATGCGTGCACCCTTTAATTTGGCCAATTCATTACTACTTAGGTATGCGGTAGTATCTAAATTGTTTTATTTCTGACTTTCCTCGATCATAACTGCCCCACTACTCCTCTTTTTTTTTCAAAACCCTCCACTACTCTTTAATAACCACTTCTAACTAACTGCCCCACTCTTTAATGCTTGCCCACGTCGTTCATTCTTTTTCCACTATTGTTTTAATGTAAATGTCATTATTAATAACTTTGATGCGTGAACCCTTTAATTTGGCCAATTCATTACTGCTTAGGAATGCGGTAGTATCTAAATTGTTTTATTTGACTTTCCTCGATCATAAGTTCATAACTGCCCCACTACTCTCTTTTTTCAAAACCCCCCACTACTCTTTAATAACCACTTCTAACTAACTGCCCCACGCTTTAATGCTTGCCCACGTCATTCATTCTTTTTCCATTATTGTTTTAATGTAAATGTCATTTCATAGGTTCCAACCTCCAATTAGCAGCTACCAAGGTAAGATACTCTGCACTTTATCTCTTAATATTTTAATATTTTTTTGTTTCAAGCTTTCTCCGTATTAACTTTTTTTATTGGATTGAAATCTGTACTTTTTATATAACAATTACCCTTAATTTTTTTTAAATGCAACTATGATATTGAGACTTTTTGTTTTTTGAATTTTTCAAAAAATAACGTAGTCTTTAATGCTTTAGAAAAAGGCTATATATGTAAAAAATTTGAGTTTTTAGTTTTGAAAAGGCTAATTCTATGTTATTATATATACAATACTTCATTTAAAAAGGGGATAATTCTACCTTTATAAACTTTGGATTTGACAAACAAAATTGCGGCCACCATAAAACTTGGGTGCTTTTTAACTTGTTCTTTGATCACATTAAAAAATAGTCCCCACAATGTGCACTTTAATGTTCGTTGTCTGTCATGCGTTGAATATATATAAAACATATTACACCGCTAGATGCATGTGGTCAAAGTTTCAAAAAAATAGTTCAAAATAATTACCTATGAAGTTCACCATTGAACTCCTGCGGCCTGGGGTAGTGAAATGACTTGATGCTGCCTATGACATCTGCAGGGATAGTTTGTAAGAACTCAATATTCACGGGCAAGGAAATAGGCCATTTGGCTATAGAGCTCAATTAATTGGGTAAAGAATAAAATGGTCAGGCTCAAAGTGGTTTCTACTAAAGGAATTATTCAGGAAAAATGGAAGATTTATGAATTCAATGGGTGACTAATGCCTTCATCCTCTCAACAACTAGATTATAGTGCAAACAATTTAAGCCTAAACACTTCAAAGATGTCCTAAAAGCATAGTCAAAACGCTAGTCAGCTCACAAAGACACAGTTTAAAAAAATATTCAAAAAATTTAACATGATTTTCCTATGAATATAGGACTAACACCTGCGAATGCTAACTCTAATAACCCGAATGCCCAATTCACATCCTCACACTTAAACTTTGGCATCGCCCTCGATGGCCAAATATGCACTATGCACAAGGGGTAAAGGGGAAAGGGTCACGCGTGCTCAAACTCAACTCAAGTTAATTATTACAAACAGGCGATTAAGAGTCACAGAAACTTCCCTAAGGCACTAATCGGTGCAGAATAAAACTGGGTCAATTTGCAAACCTCGGCGCATCATCCAAAAAACGTACTTTGAGCTGCAATCACCATTCATACAACAAAAACAAAGCACAGTAGAGAGTAAAGAGTAATAGTGTGACTGTGTGGGAGTGAATAATAGTACAGTCATCCAACATAAAATCTCAAAGTACAGAAGCTAGCGTAGGACAACTACTCAATAATCTACTGCTCAAGAGGAGGAGGAGAAGGAGGATGATATCCCTCAAAGAATGAGCGCCAGCTGGTCTCGTGTGTAATGAGGTGCTCATCAATGCCCGTATACTGCGACCGCAGCTGGGTGTAATGCGTCTGCTGCTCCTCATTCATCTCCCTGTTAAATATCTGTTGATCCTCCCTCATCTGGCCGAAATGATCATGCTGCTCACGGGATAGTCTCCGGTATACATCCTCCTGGTGCATGTGCACTCCCGCCCAAGTATCAAGATAGGCATAATCATAGGGGGGCGGCACATAAGGAATGTCATGTGCAGCGTCATTGTCCATAGCATTGCCTCCCTCGGCGTGGTGCTCCTCTTCATGCTCCTCTTCATGGTGGCCTATTCCGCCACCCTCAAGAATTTGTATACCCGCCTGCTGGGGTACCTCCTGTCCTCCAGCTCCATCCCCTTGCGTTGTTTGTTGTCTTATCCTCACAACTCCCGTGTTCACGTCGGGGAGCTTTGTCAATGGGAGAAAGCTAGAACTCCCATCCATCCCTATAAAGTGGTCTCCATAACCCAGCCCATGCAACAGTCGTGTAATGTAAGGACCAGAGTATAACGCCTTGATGTGGTTTGTTGACTGGCAGTGGAAAAGGATGGCAATAATGGCGCCCATGTGGGGCTTCTGGTTGTGGATCATGCAGTATAGGCAAAGAAAGTCTTTGGAGGAAACCTTGCCCGCGACCTCAGCTCTTCCGGTGACCGTGGAGGTTAGGAACGCGTGGATGACTCTGTACTTCTGGGGGGAATTGTAGCATGTTAGAGGACTCCCGGGGTGAGTAAGTGATGCCTCCTCGAGAAATGGCCTCCCAAAATGTCTGGCAGTCTACATCGGGTGGTAGGTCAATCAAACCAACTACATCATGGTCGGCGTTTGCAATCTGATCAAAACCTAAGTGCCACCGGATGTTGTCAATGGAGACCGCATGGTCTTTCTCCAAATGCTCTGAACTTGATCGCACGCCGGAGATTGTATGATACCGCATCAAAATACTTTGGCAGCTTAATTATTGTCAACACCTCACAAGTAACCTCTTTGAAAGTTGGCTCTCGGATGCCGAACAACAGGTGTTGCCACCAACTCCTACGCAGCAAGAACATAACATCATACTTCAACCCAGCTGCGGCAAGTGTGGGCTCATGCGAATGGTACATCGTGTCGACATCTTTCTTTACCAGCTCCAAATACGTTAACAGCTGCTTATCTTCTTGAATTGTGGCTAATATTGGGCATCAGCGGCCCTACTAGAGCTGGCCGCGGCATTCTCGCGGGTAGGCTTGGCATTCTTGGTCCGAGCCATCTGCAAAAACAATTCAAGCAAAAGAATTCCAACGGGACTTCCAAGTGTTAAAATCAAGCACAATACTCAAGAATAATAGCCTCGTCAGCAACAATTTTGTGGTTAATTGTTGTTGACGGGGCTATTATTCTTGAGTATTGTGCTTAATTCTAACACTTGGAATTCTTTTGCTTGAATTATTTTTGCAGATGGCTCGGACCAAGAATGTCAAGCGTACCCGAGAGAATGCAGCGGCCAGCTCTAGTAGGGCCGCTGGTGCCCAATATTAGCCTCAATTCCCAGAAGATAAGCAAATATTGAAGTATTTGGAGCTAGTAAAGAAAGATATTGGCACGATGTACCACCCGGATGAGCCCACACTTACCGCAGCTGGATTGAAGTATGATGTTATGTTCTTGCTGCGCAGGAGTTGGTGGCAGCACCTGTTGTTCGGCATCCGAGAGCGACTTTCAAAGAGGTTACTTGCGAGGTGATGGCAACAATTCAGGGCATGTGATCAAGTTCAGAGCATTTGGAAAAGACCATGCGGTCTCCATTGACAACATCCGGTGACACTTAAGTTTTGATCAGATTGCAGACGCCGACCGTGATGTAGTTGGCTTGACTGACCTACCACCCGATGTATACCGCTAGCATTTTGGGAGACCATTTCAGGAGGAGGCAGCACTTACTCACTTTGGGAGTCACCTAGCACGCTACTATACCACCGGAAATACAGAGTCATTCACGCGCTCCTAACCTCCACGTGGGCTATGGAGACCACTTTACAGGAATGGACGGGAGTTCTAGTTTTCTCCCATTGACAAAGCTCCCCGACGTGAACACGGGAGTTGCGAGGATAAGAGAGCAAGCAGCGCAGGGGGCTGGAGCTGGAGGATTAGAGGTACCCCTGCAGGCAGGTATACAGATTCTTGAGGGTGGCGGAGCAAGCCACCATGAGGAGTACCACGCCGAGGGAGACGATGCTATGGACCATGATGCTGCACAGGACATTCCTTATGTGCCGCCCCCCTATGATTATGCATATCTTGATACTTAAGCGGGGGTGCACATGCACCAGGAGGATGTATACCGGAGACTATCATGTGAACAACATGATCATTTCGGCCAGATGAGGGAGGAGCAGCAAACGCACTACACCCAGCTGCGGTCGCAGTATACGGGCATTGATGAGCACTTGACTACATTCGAGACCAGCTGGCGCTCATTCTTTGAGGGATATCAACCTCTTCCTGAGCAGTAGATTATTGAGTAGTTGTCCTCCGCTAGCTTCTGTACTTTGAGATTTTATGTTGGATGACTGTATTATTATTCACTCTCACACTGACACACTATTAATCTTTACTCTCTACTGTGCTTTGTTTGTGTTGTATGAATGGTGATTGCAACTCAAAGTATGTTTTTTGGATGATGCGTCGAGGTTTGCAAATTGACCCAGTTTTATTCTGCACCGACCAGCGCCTTAGGGAAGTTTCTGTGACTCTTAATCGCCTGTTTGTAATAATTAACTTGAGTTAAGTTTGAGCACGCGTGACCCTTTCCCCTTTACCCCCTTGTGCATCGTGCATATTTGGCCATCAAAGGCGATGCCAAAGTCTAAGTGTGGAGGAGTGAATTGGGCATTCGGGCAGTAGTTGTTACAGGGGATTATTAGAGTTAGCATGCGCAGGTGTTAGTCCTATGTTCATAGGAAAGTCATGTTAAAATTTTTGAATATTTTTTTAAACTGTGTCATTGTGAACTAGCTAGCGTTTTGACAATGCTTTTAGGACATCTTTGAAGTGTTTAGGCTTAAATTGTTTGCACTATAATCTAGTTGTTGAGAGGATGATTCGGGATGAAGGCATTAGTCACCCATTGAATTCATAAATCTTCCATTTTTCCTGAATAAGTCCTTTAGAAGAAACCACTTTGAGCCTGACCAATTTATTCTTTACCAAATTAATTGAGCTCCATAGCCAAATGGCCAATTTCCTTACCCGTGAATATTTCTGAGTTCTTACAAACTATCCCTGCAGATGTCATAGGCAGCATCAAGTCATTTCACTACCCCAGGCCGCAGGTATGTGAAATTGTCCTAGAAGATCTTGGGTAATTATTTTGAACTATTTTTTTGAAACTTTGACCACATGCATCTAGCAATGTAATATATTTTATATATATTCAACGCATGACAGACAACGAACATTAAAGTGCACATTGTGGGGCCCATTTGTTGATGTGATCATAGAACAAGTTAAAAACCACCCAAATTTTATGTTGGCCACGATTTTGTTTGTCAAAGCCAAGGTTTACAAAGGTAAAATTATCCCCTTTTTAAATGAAGTATTGTATATATAAAAACGTAGAATTAGCTTTTTTAAAACTAAAAAGGCTAATTAAGGGTATATATAATAACATAGAATTAGCCTTTTCAAAACTAAAAAGTCAAAAAATTTAAATATATACCGTTTTTTAAAGCATTAAGGACTACGTTATTTTTTGAAAAACTCAAAAAAAAATCTCAATATCATAGTTGCATTTTAAAAAAAATTAAGGGTAATTGTTATATAAAAAGTATAGATTTCAATCCAATAAAAAAAGTTAATACGGAGAAAGCTTGAAACAAAAAATAAATATCAAAATATTAAGAGATAAAGTGCAGAGTATCATACCTTGGTAGCTGCTAATTAGAGGTTGGAACCTATAAAATGACATTTACATTAAAACAATAATGGAAAAAGAATGAACGACGTGGGCAAGCATTAAAGAGTGGGGCAGTTAGTTAGAAGTGGTTATTAAAGAGTAGTGGGGGGTTTTGAAAAAGAGTGGCGTAGTGGGGGCAGTTATGACTGAGGAAAGTCAGAAGTAAAACAATTTAGATACTACCGCATACCTAAGCAGTAATACAACAACAACAACATCCAAGTCTTAGTCCCAAACGATATTGGGGTCGGCTAACATGAATCGATATATGATATCACCAAAAGGAAAAGGACGAAAATAAAGATAAAAAAGATAAGCTATTATGAAAAAGATAATATAAAAGAGATGAATATACATATAAAAGATCAAATAAAAAGGATAAAGTAATATTTATGTATAAGGATAAATATATATATATATATATATACACATATATAAAAAGTGGAGAAAAGATGATACAAGATGATACCTAAGCAGCAATGAATTGGCAAAATTAAAGGGTGCACGCATCAAAGTTATTAGAAGAGAAGCGGTTGTTACCAATGAAAAAGCTTACACATAGTTCTATCATTCTCCCATGGAACAAGGTTATTCGGAAAAAGAGGAGTAATGATAACATTCAAGGTATGTTTTAATAGCTTATTTTTATCATCATGTATATTTGTTTCAACTTTTCAATGTTAGACATATATACTATTCAGATTTTGTTCACGAAGTAGGTAGATAGTAACAACATTCAGAGATACCTAGAAAATGCTACAAGCCTACAAGTAGATTAGATTACCTTTAAGAACATTGGGGTACGTATTAAAATCCAAATCCTATTCAAAATATTGATGTGTGAGTGCATACGTATTAATTGTTTAAGAAAAATCACTTAAATGTTAGAAATGGTTTTTTTAAATCACATATTGGAAACAACATTCAGATATTGCTACATAATTCTACAAGTACTTTAGTTTACCTTTAAGAAAATTGGATGTGTGTTGAACTCCAAATCATATTCAAAACATTGATGTTTAAATGCATACCTATTAATTGTTCAAGAAGGATCACTTAAATGTTAGAAGCAGTTTTTTAAAATCACATATTAGTAAACTCTTGGAACAACAGAGTAATAAAATTGGGAACATGATCGATTGATAAGAAAACTAGGGAATGGAAACTATGAAATTATAAGAAACGTGATTTTAAAAGAAAGTATGCTTCAGTATGAGCACAAGTGGAATAACTGGGAAACATGATGAAAAAATGTTATGAATGGGTATCACGAAATACTCCCTTCATGATGGAAGCAGAAAATAACAATCAACATTAAATTCCGTTGCCCAAGCTAAACAGCTAAAACCAATATTATTAATCCCCTTTCAATAAGCCTAGACAGGGGTTTAATAGGAAACTAAATCCTAGTAAGAAACATAATAGGAGTCCTAATTAAATCATACTTGGAAACTAAATAAAATAAGAAAACTCTTATCCTAATTAAAATAAACTAGGAAACTAGATAAAATAGGAAGCCTCTAATTCTAATAAGAATAGAACTATAGAAGTCCTAAATAAACCATAAAATAAATTAGGAAACATCATAAAAAGAATAATTAAAATATCTAGAACCAGCCCACGAAGGTGGGCTCAAGCCCGTCCCCGCCTACGGTAGACCAACAATGGTCTGGGGCTCGGATCTGCTTCCTGCGCCCCTTCCTGCTCTCTATCAACTTCATCCTCCTTCGAAAGAACCTTGTCCTCAAGGTTGAAATCTGAAAATTGGGCCACAAAGCTTTCCCTCTTCATCCAAGTAGCATCGTCACTAAGCTGTCCAGCCCACTTAATTAATAGCTCTTCCTCTTTGTCATTTTTCTTTCTGCTAGCCAATATCTCTTCAGGCTCACATGCTGGACCCACTGGCAATTCTAAGTTTTCTGGCAACTCACTCTCTACTGGGGATCTCCTACCACCTTCCGTAGCTGAGACACATGGAAGACTGGATGAATCCGGCTGGTAGATGGTAAAGCTAGGTGCTAGGCTGTCGGCCCTATGCGTTCTTCAATCACGAATGGCCCATAGAATTTAGCCGCTAACTTATTGTAAGGCTGGCGGAATAAAGTGGTCTGCCGGTATGGCCTGACCCCCAAAAACACCTTGTCCCCAACCTGGAATCCACATTGTGACGGTGCTTATTGGCTTGAGTCACCATGCGCTGTTGTGCTTTCTGTAAACTTTCTTTTAGCCGAATCAGCATAACATCCCTGCTACCAAGCACTTCCGTAACGGCTGCCACCTTGCATTCTCCTGGTAAATACTGCCAAATAGTGGGAGGTGGCCGGCCATACACCACCTCAAATGGAGAGATCCTTGCTGCAGTCTGGAACGCGGTGTTATACCAATATTCAGCCCAAGATAGCCACTTGATCCATTGCCTCGGCTGCTCACACGTAAAGCAACGCAAATACGTTTCTAAAACTCGATTTATCACTTCTGTTTGACCATCCGTCTCTGGGTGATAGGCTGAGCTTAATTTTAACTGAGTTCCGGACAAGGAAAACAACTCCTTCCAAAATGCACTGATAAATAAGGAGTCTCGATCACTAACGATTGAGCGTGGGATGCCGTGTAGCCGAACTACTTCTCTGGAAAAAGCTTCAGCTACTGGCCGGGCTGTGATTGGAGCTTTTCGAGCTATGAAGTGCCCATATTTGGACAATCGGTCCACCACTACCAAAATAGAAGTGTACCCCTTTGGCAAACAAGTGATGAAATCCATGGAAATATCTTCCCAAATCAAGCCGGGAATAGGCAAGGGCTGCAGCAATCCAGTCAGTGACATTGCCTCATACTTGGCCATTTGACATACCAAACATTGTGCGACATAGGCTTGCACTTGGCGGAACATTCCCTTCCAGAACACGTTCATTGCTAGCCTTCTATACATTCGATATGCGCCCGCGTGCCCACCTGTAGGAGTGTTATGGAATTCCTCCATTAGACGAGGAATCTATTTAGAGTCAGCAGCTAGCGCCAATCGACCTTTGAAAAACAGCCGTTTCCCAATCACCTCATAGCCTGGTACACTACCAGGGTCAGTTGCCAGTGCCTTGATTCCCTGCAAAGATTTATCCTTTTGTTGCTCTTCTTCAATGTCGGCCAGACCCATCCACTCTGATACGCTAACTGCTGCTAGTTCGAGCTCATCTCCTCTTCGTGACAAGGCGTCTACTGCTGCATTAGAAATACCTGATAGAGACACCGGCAGCTCTAATAGAGGAGATAAATACTTCAGCCACGTTTATTCTAGAAGGAAGAAATAGTTAGTTGTTATGTGCTTGTAACTACTTTCAGTTGGGAGTTTGTATATAAATAGAATAAACTGCGGTGGAAGGGGTAGGCTGTTTTTGAGACACTTTGTCTTGGCTGGGAAGTTGGAGTTTTATCTCTACTTTGGGACTCTGCACATGAACATTTACTTTCAGTATATTGTTGATTGATGTACTTGCATTCTTTCCTCTTGTGTGAGCTGATTCTTGTTAGAATTACTGTTGAAATCTTGTATAGTTCTATCAATTGGTATCAGAGCACGTTGATTCTGTGAATGGTTGGAACGCGTAAAAAGAAAATGGAGGGGCGAATGAACGACATGGAGACGAAGTTTGATACGATGGTTGCGATGATGACCGCGATGCAGGCGGGCATCGCTGATTTGCAGAGCAAGCGACCCGATCGATCGAGGAGTCAATCGCATCACTCCACTAATTCGCAACACACTGCTCGCCATCGTCATACGAAGCACAGCGACAATTCTGAAGAATCGGATCATAATTCTGATCATTCAGTATCGCCTATCAATCGCAATCCACACAAATATCACAAGCGCCATCAACCGGTAGGAAGGAAGATTGACCTACCGATTTTCAATGGAAAAGATGTCTTCGGCTGGTTGGTAAGGATGAACAGGTAATTTCGATTGAACCGAACGGATGAAGATGATAAGATTGATGTTGCGGTCGTGGCCCTAGAAGATCAAGCTCTAAGTTGGTTCCAATGGTGGGAAGGGCAGGCTCAACATCAGGACTGGGAAACTTTTACGAATGCTTTATCAAAAAGATTTCAGCCTGATATGGTACAGGATCCTTTAGGGCCCTTATTCAATCTGAAACAGAAAGGATCTGTACAGGAATATAGAAACCAGTTTGAGATTGCCATAGCTTCTCAAGGCCACTTGACGGAAGAGGTGTTAAGAGGAATTTTTCTCAAAGGATTACGGAGGGACATTAAAGCTGAACTTAAGCTGTATTCTGCAAGGACTTTAGCAAAGGTGATGGATACTGCTATCTTAATAGAGAACAAGAACAATGAATCCTTGTTTATCAAGAACCGGGAAGAAGGAAGGAGGAAAGGGTTGAGTAAGAGCAACCAAAACTAGGGAGATAGCAACAAATGGAGAAGTTATTCCACTACTTCTGCAACTATGAACAAGGGATCAGGAGAAAATCGAACTATGAATGAAGATAAAAGTCAGAATGGGAAGAAAGAAGGCCCCAGACTATCCAAGAATGAGCTGTTAGACAGAAGCAGGAGAGGCTTGTGTTTTAAATGTGGAGAACATTGGGGAAAAGGGCATGTTTGTAAGATGAAAAACTTCAAGATGATATTAGTGGAACAGTCTGAAGGGGAAAATGAATCCGAGGAGGAGGTAAATGATTCTGCAGAGGAGGGAGAAGGTATCAGACAACTTAAAACGATGCAGTTATCAGTTTTAAGTAAAGAAGGTATTCCCTCTATGAAAACTTTCAGAGTAAAAGGGTTATTAAAATGGGAGCAAAGAGAGGAACAGGTGGATATTCTTATTGATTGTGGTGCTACCCACAATTTTATGGCTCAAGGCTTGATTGACAGATGGAAGATTCCTTTTACCCCTACTCAAGGGTATAAGGCACAAATTGGTAATGGGGAATTCATACCTAATATTGGCAGATGCAATGAAGTGACATTGGAAGTGCAAGGTACTGTAATTCAACAGACCTTCTATTTGTTGGAGTTGGGTGGTACTGATATTGTATTAGGCATGGAGTGGTTGACTCAGTTGGGCAATATGGAAGTGAATTTCCAGAGTCAAGTGATAAAATGGAAACAGCGGGGACAGAACCATATGATAAAAGGGGAAGAAGCTTTAAACAATCTGGAGATACCTTTAAGAACCATGCTACATATTCTACAAAGAACTGGTGATGGTTATTTGATGTACTGTGAAGGACAGAAGGATGTTAAGGAACTAAAATTAAAAGGTGAAGAAGATTGGGATGGCATTATCTCAGAATTTCCAGAAGTTTTCACCACTCAGCTGCAGTGTCCCCTGCAAGAAATTGTGATCATGCAATAAACATCAAGGAAGGAGCAAGCATACCAAATCTGAGACCCTACAGGTATTCATTTGATCAGAAGAATGAAATAGAAAGAATAATTGGTGAAATGTTAAGTTCTGGGATCATCAAGCATAGTAACAGCCCATATAGCAGCCCAATTCTATTGGCCAAAAAGAAGGATGGGGGTTGGAGGTTCTGTGGGGACTATAGGGCTTTATATAAAATAACTGTGCCTGATAAATTTCCTATTCCAGTCATAGAGGAACTGTTGGATGAATTATGTGGAGCCACAGTTTTTTCCAAACTAGATCTCAAATCCGGTTACCACCAGACAAACTTGTTAAAAGCGACAAAAAGCTCCCAAAAGCGACAAAGCGCAGGCGAGCGTTCAACCTACGCCTGGCTTTTGAAAAGCGGCTCGTCGTGAGAAAGCGAAGCTTTTCCGGCGCTTTTCTTGAGTTCGCTTAATGGAAAAGCGATCGCTTCGATACGCTTCTCACAAAAAGCGGTCCAGTCAAATTTTTTTCTCCAAAATTTTGGTCTTCTCGTTTCGCCGCTACAAGTTAGAGTTGGAGTTGTTCGACTCTTTCCCACTCCAGACAAAGCGTCACAATAGAGTCCAGCAAAGCCGCTGCTGAAGAAGTCCCAGCCTGCGATTGAATATTTCTGCGTCG